TTTCCTGTGCTGCTTTCTTGCCTTCTAATCAATTTCATGAGGGAATTAAGATTAGGTGTTATGGTACCTGATTTATCTATGAGGACTAATGCATTTGAAAATATATTTAGGTCTCCCATTTTATCCCAGAGGAAGCAATTTATGAGTTTCCAGGTTGGTAATATACTCTAAAGTGAATGCATCCCTGCCATTGTCACCAGGTTAGGAAATAGAAATGAACCCATTGCCTACAAACTACACCCTCTCACTCATCCCCAAAGGGAGCTAGCTAATCATTCTCTTGACTTGTAATCTCGGTCAATTTTTGTTTTTCTCCATTTTAGGGTCATCAAAAGAATAGAGTAGGTAGGTCTCTATGTTAGGAGTGTGCCACTTATTATATGATTCTCTTCAGGTTGTTCATTCTCAGTGTGTAATATTTACACTGAAGAACTTGACACAATTTGCTTGTTTGTTGTCCTCTAGATGAACATGTAGCTTGTCTGTAGCTTGGGACTACTCAAATTTGTGCTGCTATGAGTGATTTTGCAGAGTCTGGGCTCACATGTATAAACATTTCTGGTGGATACACAACTAAGTATAGGATTGTTTATAGAATTCCCAGGTGGAAAGATTTATTCCCCTCTTTGTGGAGGTCTTCTTCACATTTCACTGGATTTCTCCTTAGATATATTATTATGTACACACGTTGCATGTTCCAATTCAAAGCTTAAACTTTCACTGCATCAGAAGTATTGACAATGTTCCAATTTCTTGTGTGTTCCTTGTATTCGAACACTCTGATGATTTCTAGTACCACATTGTAGGTTTTTTAGGGGATGGGCAAATGGTCAGACAGTCATGTCATGAAAAAGGACATTCGTTTGGCTCACTTTAGCATAGTCTTTCTATTTTGCATTTTTCTTGCCTTGGCCCAGCGGTAGACCATCTAGTACAATTGTGTAGCAGATGGGTACTTTTGTACAATCTCAGTATAGAAAGGAGAGCTCTCAACATTTACCCATTACATGTGGTCCTCCTTGTCTTTTAAAGTTCTGGTAGAACTCAGTTGAGAATTGATCTGTTCCTGGACTATTCTTTGTAGAAAGGCTTTGAATTGCTGCTTCAATCTTAATGCTCAATATTGGCCGCCTTAGGTTTTCTATATCCTTAGTTAAATTTGGGTAGATCATATGTGCCTAAACATGTTAACATCTTACATATTTTCCAGCTTATTGAAGTATTATTTTCAAAATAGGTCCTAATGAACATCTGTATTACAGAAATATCTGTGGTAATATCTCCTTTTCATCTCTCATTTTGTTGATTTAGTTCTTCTCTTTCTTTTGGTGAGTTTGGTTAAGATTGTATCAATTTTATTTACCTTTTTAAAAAATTAATTCTTTGGTGCAGTGATCTTTGTAATTTTTTAAAATTATCAATTTTATTTCTCATCTATATTATTTGCTGTCTTTTATAGGTTTTGGAATTTGTTTATTTGTGCTTTTCTAGTGTCTGGAGATGTAACATTAGATTCTGGGATCTCTCTCTCTTTTTTTAAATGTAAGCACTCAATGCTATAAACTTTCCCCTTAGAGCTGCCTTCATACTATCCCAGAAATTTTGAAATGTTTTAATACTGTTCTCATTTTTTCCTAAGAACTGTTTGATTTCTCTCTGAATTTATTCTTTGACATATAACTGTTTCAAAAGTTCATCAATTAATCACCATGTGTTAAAATGGTTTATGTTTTAAGCCTTGCTATTGATTTCTAATTTCACTTCAGTATGACCTGACAGTATGGAAGAAATTATCTCATTTTACTTTTTGTCCTAAAATATGCTCAATTTTAGAAGTGATTCCATGTGTGGGTAAGAAGAAAGTCAATGTGGTTGCTGATGGATGAAATATTCTAGAGTTGTTCATTAGGTCCATTTGATTCACAGTATGCCTAAATTCTGAAGATTCTTTCCTTGGTTTATGTCTGTATGACCTGTCTATTGGTGAGAGAATTAAACATTGTAACTATATTGTTCTAAATTCTTTTTCTGATTTTCCTCTGCTGAGGTGTCAATGGGGTCAATTTTTCTCATGTTCTGAGCTATTTGGGGTAACATGCTCTCCTGTATTGTTAGTATTACTTTCTACCCACCTGCTTGAAATACTGTTGCTTCTACATTTATATAAAGGGCTTTGGGTAAATTGCTATCCTTTTATTATATTATGTACCCTGGGTTAGGTGAGAATCTTGTCAATATTGTCACTCAGTTTGACCATGGTAATATGTTCAGGCTTTAGCACCGCATTGAGAGGAGGTATCAATCCCATGATTATAAGTCCTTTGCAACGAAGCCATATACTAATAAACCTTAAAAAACTTACTGAGCATGTTCTTCTGCAGTCCATCGATCTGATTGGTAAATGGAAGTGAACTTTTTTTTCCTAAGTTGAGAAATTAGGTAATAAGAAAAGTAAAATTGCTTTTAAACTATTTTTGGCTTTCTGGTCAGGTATTCTCTCAGTGCTTTGATTCTGGATTGTGAAAAAGTCAAGACATATTGCCTATTTCCACCCCCCCCATCTTCTGAGAGCCTATTTATTCATTTGTTTGTTTTGTGAGTTTTTTTTTTTTTAATAAAGTCGGTTCTTTCTAAGTTTCAGACACTGTACAGTTTGTTTTTTTCTCAGGTCTGACCCAAAGTGGTCCAACTTGTTAGGAGAGTCTGTATGCAGATTTTCACTCCCTTCTTGCCCTGCTGGTTCTGATGCATCCCTCCTCTTGGTAGCCTCAGACCATGTGGAGAGGAGAGTGGGATGTGCCAGCCTTTCTCCAGCCTTTTTAAGGTTTGAAAGGAGTGACTCAGGGGTCACCAGATTTGGTGTGAATTTAATTGGTCTCAGTTTCCCAACCACCCCATTATTAGCCAGGCTCCTTTTCCCACAGCTCTGATTGCCCGTTTGAAGGGAAAGAGTCCTCGACTCTTCTCTGCTTAGTAGACTCAGTTTTTCAGGCTGCATTGCTGTTTTGATTCACTCTTAAGGAGCTGCTATGATGATATAGATTCCTCTGATCCACCTTATTCCATTCCCCAAAGGGATAAACTAAACAGATGAAAAGGATCTTAAAAATACAGTTCATTAACAGTAAAGCAATTGGACTATGAAGTCAAAAGGAAGAGAGAATATCCAAAGGGGAGAAAGTTAATGAGAGGTGGCATGTGGGGCCATAAAGAGGGAGGAGAAGGAGGAGGAGAAGATGAAGAAGGAGGAGAAGGAGGAGGAGGAGGAGGAGGAGAAACGTTTACAAGGACGTGGAGAAATTCAAACCCTGCTATACTGGAGGGGATATTTAATGATGCAGGAGCCATAGAAATTGTTATATAGCTTTCTCACCCAGACACAGATGTTCTGTATGATCCCTGGGTATTGAGGGGAAAGAATGAGATCAGAAGCTTCTAGATATATTAGCATTATCATGTTCAAGGGAGCGCTAGGAACAAAAGCCTAGCTTGGTAACAACCCAAATGTCTACTGATGGAGGAATGGGTCAAAAGAATATGGAAAAAATCCTACACTAGAATGCTCTTCAGGCTTACAAAAGAGGGAAATTCTCCCCTATGTGCATGGGCCATAGGCTTCTCTCCCAATGAATTAATGAAGGACAAATTCTACAGAGGTTCCACCTATATATGCAGTATGTAAAATAAATCAACTCAGATAAGAAAAGAAGAGTGGTGGTTTCCAGGGAGATCAAAGTGGGACTTGCATATAAATAGATAGGCCATTTCCATTATGGAAGATGAATAACTTCTAGGGATCTCTGGTACAGAGTAGGATACAATGACAATGTATTTGCACTTAAAAATCTATTTAGCCCTTGATTTTCACCTCAGGGTCTCTTAGCACAGGCAAATAAAGATAGATAATATGTTGAAGGGCATCTAGGTTGGCTCCATAGTTTAGCTGTTGTGATTTGAGCTGCTATAACCATTATGTGGCTGTGTCACTGTAATATGCTGATTTTAAGTCCTTTGGGTAGAAACTGAGGAGTGGGATAGCTAGGAAAAACGATGGTTCTATTTCACGTTTTCCAAGTGAATAAAGAAAACATACACACACACACACACACACACACACACACACAATGGAATATTACCTATTAAAGAAGAATGAAATTATGGCATTTGAAGATAAATGCATAGAGCTGGAGAATATCATGCTAGTAAAATAAGCCAATCCCTAAACACCAAAGGTCAAATGTTTGCTCTGGTATGTGGATGCTAATTCACAATAAGGGGGAAGCTAGGGAAAAAGGGATTAGGTAGAGGGGAGTGAAGGGAGGGGAGGGGGATGGGGTAGGAAGGATGGTAGAATGAATCAAACATTATTATCCTATATACATATATGATTACACGACCATGTGATTCTATACCATGTGCAGTCAGAAGAATGAGAAGTTATACTCCATATACGTATGAGTCAAAATGCATTCTACTGTCATGTATAACTAATTAGAACAAATAAAAAGATAGACAATATGGAATGAATAAAGGTCCAGTTTTTATTAAGAATCTATGAAATTTTTGGCAGTACTTAGGCAGGCAACTGAAGGTGACTATGACAGAAGAAAGTAGCATACAGAAATATGGAAGAAAATGCAAAAAAAATCATGACTATAAAGATGAAGGAACTGTTTTATACGGCTATGAAATTCTTCTAAAGAAGTGTCCTAATTTCTTTATATAGTGAGATAAAGATTTTGGCTCCAGAATTCCAACCAAGATCATAAGTCCCCAACAAGGACCTATGAAGATGGTCCAAGTTCACAAGGTGTAAGGAACAAGATGAGAGTGGGGTGGTCTGTACTCTTTCAAGGTGATTCACAAGGTCTTACATGAGGGATGATGAACATAATTTCTGATGACACTGTGATGGTTTTAAGCCAAGGTAGGAGGAGATTTGGTGCAAGTAAGGCAACAGGTTGAGAGGAGTTTGTAGACACTGGTGTTTGAGGAGTTGATCACAGGCAGCAAGGATGGCAGCAGCTGCACACACAGCAGCAGGGCTGGCAGCAGGGTTTGCAGCAGCAGCGGGTCACATGGGATTTTTTGGAGCAGGTGGTCTTGCAGCAGGTGGTTCTAGAGCAAGGAGGAGGGCAGCAGGGCTGGCGGCAGGGGATAATGCAGCAGCTGGGGCAGCAGCAAGGCTCACAGCAGGGTGTGCTGCAGCAGACCACACAGGTTGGTTTGCAGTAGGTGGTCTTGCAGCAGGTGGTTTCACAGCAAGTTGGGGGACAGCAGGGCTGGCAGCAGGGAATGATGCAATAATTGGGGCAGCAGCAAGACTCACCGCAGCTGGGCTTACAGCTGGGTGTGCTGCAGCAGCTGACCACACAGGCTGGTTTGCAGCAAGTGGTCTTGCAGGAGGTGGTTTCACAGGAAGTTGGAGGACAGCATGGCTTGCAGCAGCTGGACCCACTGCTGGTTTTACCACTGCAGCTAGACCCACAACAGCTGGGTGGAGAGCAGGATGTGCTGGAGCAGGTGTTCCCACAGACTGGTTTCCAGCAGGTGGTCTTGCAGCAGGTGGTCCTGCAGCAGGTAGGCTTGCAGCAAGAGGAGCAGCAGGAGCGGGCCATGGTGTGAGCTGTGGAGGGTGGGATCCTATTCACAGGTCAGTGAGTTTGCACAATATGAGGACTCCTTGCAGTTGGGCTCTTTTATCCTGGGGACCTCCAGTGTTTGGACCAATCAGCAGCTCTTGACCTTGTTGTTTTTTATGTTATTTTCCATACTTAGTTTGTGTTTTTCAGGAAGAATTTGCTATGCAAATGTGATGAGTATTGTGTATGTGTTTAATCTGTTTCTTAAGAGCGTGTAAGTCACAAGAACTGTTTCCAGATGAAAGGAAGACAGTCACTTCATTAGTATCCTTGGTGCTCTGAGCATCATTTTGGTCATGTGGTGGCTCCTACTGCCCTGGGAGGGTCAGCACAGATGTTCTAGAATATTTTTGCTTTGTCTATATTCAGATTAGGAAGTGGCTGTGGGAGGAGCATGATGCTGCTGTTTTCACAGTGAGGAACCACTCATGTGTTCATCCAGAGGTTCCTGACTCAAGGCTGGTTGAGGCCTCTGTCTCTGTACCAGGTCTTCCACGTGTGTGTCTCCAGGCATTTTGGAAGAGGATGTTTGGCATGTGGTCTTCCATAGCAGAACAGGACCAGAAAGTGAGGGTAAAAGCAGAAGCTGCACATGGGGATGAGACAGGTATGGATGGATGTGTGGGTGGCCATAGGTCCTGTTTTATCCAGTACTGAGGGCTCCCCAGGATGAGCCTGTGGGACTTTCTGCCATGGAAGCCCTGCAAACCCAGCCAAACCAGGATGAGCAGGTGGCTCTATTCCCAACCTAGGTACCAGCACAGACAATGTCTTGGGTCATGATTTTTCTCTTTTTTTACATCTTTCCTTCTGTCTCAGGTTCTGCTTCTTTTTTTCCCCCTCCTTTCTCACTTGGTTCCTTGCTTTCTTGCCTTCTTCTATTTCAGGAGGGAAGTTAGATTAGGTGAGATGGTACCTGATTCGTCTGCAAGAAACACATGCTGAGAATGTTTTTAGGTCTATCATTCCATCCACGATAGGGCAAGTTATTTTTTCTCAATGAACTATTCTAATGTGAATTCTTCCTTCTACTACTGTCGGGTAGGAAATAGAATTGAATCCCATTCCCTACGAATCCTACCCTCCCATGCATCTCCTATGGGAGCTGATCACTTGGTTGACTTGTAACTCTGTAGGTTAATTTGGGCTCTTTTCATTCTTTGGTTCATCAAAAGAACAGCAATGTTGGATGCCTTTGGGTTATGAGTGTGAGACTCATCAGCACAGTCATGTGTAGCACACTCATTCTAAGTGTTGTAAAATTTCCACTGAATGAAATAAACACCATGTACTTGATTGTCCTCCAGATGGTCATGCAGCTTGTTTGTAGACTGGAATTTACTCAAACTCATGCTGCTATGTTTTTGCACTGAACCTGTGGCCGTAAACATTTATGGTGGATACACAACCAGGTCTAGGGTTGTTCATATAATTCCACATGGAGAGATTTCTTCTGTTATTAGTACAATCTCATCCATTTTTCTCTACATTTTTTTCCTTAGATATTTTATCGTGTACACATGCTGTATGTTAAAATTTAAAGCTTGACTTTTTACTGCTTAGGGAATATGGAAAGTGATTCATATTTTGTATATATTTTTTAAAATATCTGTATTTCTTGGTTATTTCTAATAGTGTATGTTAGATTTTGGGGGGAGATGAACAAATTTTCATGCACAGGCATGTCATGAACAATGATACTTCTTTTCTTCATTTCAGCATAGTCTTTCTGTTGTGTATTTTCCTTGCCTTGGTGGGCTCTCTGGTCTACTGGTGGTATACTGGCATCAGATGGGTATTTTTGTAGAATCTCAGCATAGGAGGGAGAACTCTTTGCATTTCCCCATTATATGTAGTCCTCCTTGTCCTTTCTATAGATTCTTTTCATAAGAGCATGACATTCAGATGTGTCTGAATAAATTCTTTGAACAGAATCCAGTTTACAGAAATCAAGTGACCTTTTCTAATGACATTAAAAACCACCAATTCTAAAATTAAGAATCAATAAATGGGATGGATTTAAACTAAAATGTTCTTCTCAGCAAAGGAAACAATCAATAACATGAAGAGAGAGCCTACAGAATGGGAGAAAATCTTTACTACGCACATCTCAGATAGAACACCAATCTCCAGGATATATAAAGAACTTAGAAAACTTAAAATCAAAAATACCCAAATAACCCAATCAATAAATGAGCCAAGGAACTGAATAGACACTTCACAAAAGAAGAAATATAATTGATCAACAAACATGAAAAAATGTTTATCATCTCTAGCCATTAGAGAAATGCAAATCAAAACCTCTCTAAGATTTCATCTCACTCCAGTYAGAATGGCAATTATCAAGATTATAAGCAATAATAAGTGTTGGCAAGGATGTGGGGCAAAAGGTACACTCACTCATACATTGCTGGAGGGACTGCAAATTGGTTCAACCACTCGGGGAACCAGTATGGAGATTCCTCAGAAATCTTGGAATGGAACCACCATTTGACCCAGCTGTCTCACTCCTCAGTTTATACACAAAGGAATTAAAATTGGCATACTACAGTGACACAGTCACATCAATGTATAGCAGCTCAATTCACAATAGCTAAACTGTGGAACCAACTTAGATGTCCTTAAACAGATGACTGGATAAAGAAAATGTGGTACATACACATGTAAGGGACCGGCGAAATGTCGGACGAAGAGACCACAAGAGACTAGCTCCATGCAATTGGCAAAAGGGGATTTATTGAACCAGCATGCTAGGGCTCCGAGCCCACTCGAGAAAGGAGAGCAGCCCAGAGCCCAGAGCAGAGGTCAAGCAGAGCTTAAGTATACTTTTTGGAGAGGGTGGGGGGCTTTGCATACATCAGAACAAATCATCTTGAGGCACGGGAAAATTGAACAACAACTCTGAGCCATGATTAGTACATTCATTGGCGGGAACAGTCTGGGCAGGGGTGATTGGTCACTCCTAAGCGGGGTACACATTTAAACTGATTGGTTTTGTGACCTGGATGCTTACGTGCCGA